ACCGTGCAGCTGACGAAGTAGATGGCCGCCGACAGGAGGAATACTCTTCGCCAGGCGCTGAGGGTTTGCTGCTCGGGGGGTGGGGTGGGGAGAGGGAAGGGGGAAGAGGGAAGTGTGAAGAGGGGAGAGGGGAGGGAGGGGAAGGGAAGGGAAGGGAGGGGGAGGGAGGGAGAGGGGAGGGAGGGGGAGAGAGGGGAGGGAGGGGGAGGGGGAGGGGGAGGGGTGGGGAGAGGGAGAGGGAAGTAGGGGAGGGGGAGGGGGAGGGGGGTGGAAGAGGGAGAGGGGGAGGGGTGTGGAGGGGAAGGAAGAGGGGTGGGGAGGAGGAAAGGGAGAGGGAGAGAGTAGGTGATGGGGGAAGGGGAGTGGAGAGGGGAGGGAATGAAGGGGGGGGGGAAGAGGGAAGTGGGAAAGGGAGAGGGGGAGAGGAAAAGGAGGGGGGAGGGGACGGGAAGGAAGGGAGGAGGGAGAGAGGGGAGGGAGAGGGAGAGGGAGAGGGGGGGAAGGGGAGAGGGAGCGGAGGGGAGGGGTGGGGAGAGGGAGAGAGTAGGTGATGGGTGAAGGGGAGTGGAGAGGAGAGGAGAGGGGATGAAGGAGAGGAGAGGAGACAGGAGAGAGGAGGGAAGGGAGTGGAGAGAGAGAGAGAACGAAAAGGAGAAAAGAAAAAATATATATAATTAAACAGCAATTTCCAGATTCATTCACATATCCCCATTCATCTGTCACGCTGTCAAGGAATAATTCAAAATACAAATGGCTATTGAAGTTCCTTCCAAATATCGTTTTATTTATCTCTTCTTTTCCTTTTCCTTTTCCTTTTTCTTTTCTTTTCTTTTCTTTTCTTTTCTTTTCTTTTCTTTTCTTTTCTTTTCTTTTCTTTTCTTTTCTTTTCTTTTCTTTTCTTTTCTTTTCTTTTCTTTTCTTTTCTTTTCTTTTCTTTTCTTTTACTTTACTTTACTTTACTTTACTTTACTTTACTTTATTTTATTTTATTTTATCTTATTTCATATCATTTCATTTCATTTCATGTTACTTTATTTTATTTTTTCTTTCATTCTAAGCCATTTATTTTTTTAAGTCAGAAATTTCATGCCTTATATTGCCTTATACCTGTAAGAAGTGGGAGAGGGGAGGGAAAGATAAATATAGGAAAGACGAAGGAAAGAGAGAAAGAAGGGGAAGGAAGGAAGGTGGGATGGAGAGAGAGAGAGAGAGAGAGAGAGAGAGAGAGAGAGAGAGAGAGAGAGAGAGAGAGAGAGAGAGAGAGATAGAGAGAGAGAGAGAGAGAGAGAGAGAGAGAGAGAGAGAGAGAGAGAGAGAGAGAGAGAGAGAGAGAGAGAGAGAGAGAAAAGAGAGAGAGAGAGAGAGAGAGAAAAGAGAGAGAGAGAGAGAGAGAGAGAGAGAGAGAGAGAGAGAGAGAGAGAGAGAGAGAGAGAGAGAGAGAGAGAGAGAGAGAGAGAGAGAAAAGAGAGAGAGAGAAAAGAGAGAGAGAGAGAGAGAGAGAGAGAGAGAGAGAGAGAGAGAGAGAGAGAGAGAGAGAGAGAGAGAGAGAGAGAGAGAGAGAGAGAGATGTGGGAAGGAAGGAGACTAAAAAAAAACACAGAAGGAGGGAGGAAGGAAGAGAGAGGAAGAGATGGAAGCAAGGAGGAAGGGAGGAAGAAAAAAAAGGTGAATGTGACATAATGAAGAAAGATAAGGGGAATGAGAAGGAGATAGATGGAAGAAAGAGAAAGGAAGTGGAAGATTGAGAAAGAGAAAGGAAGGAGAAATTTGAGAATCAGACGGAAGGAAGAATATTGAGAAAGAGAGAAAACGGGAGACTGAGAGGGAGATAGAAGAGACTGAGAAAAAGAGAGAAGAAAGGAGGGAAGAAGAAGGAAGACTATGAAAGAATTAGTAGGAGACCGAGAAAGAAAGAAAAAAAGGACGAGAGAGACTGAGAAAGAGAAAGGAGAAGGGAAGAGGGACGAGAAAGAAATAGAAATAAGGAAACCGAGCGAAAAATAAAAGGCTTAAAGATACCGAGAGAAAAACAGAAAAAAAGGAAAGAGGCCGACAAAGAAACAGAAGAAAAGAGACCGACAAAGAAACAGACAAAGAGAGAAGAGAGAAACAGACGAAGAGAGAAGAAGAGAGAAACAGACGAAGAGGGAAGAAGGGAGAGAAGAAGAAAAGGAGAAAAAGAGATAAAAAGAAGAGAAAAGAAGAAAAAAGCAAAAACGCCGAGACAAAAATAGAAAAAAAAGGAAAGAGACCGACAAAGAAACAAACGAAAAGAGAAGAAGAGAGAAACAAACGAAGAGAGAAGAAGAGAGTAACAGACGAAGAGGGAAGAAGAGAAAGAAGAAGAGAGAAGAAAAAGAGAGAAGAAGAAGAGAGAAAAGGAAAGGAAAGACTCACATTGCCGTTCGTGATGGCGCCCGTCAGCTGCGGCGCCGCGAAACCCGGGATGTTGGCCAGAGTGTTGGTGACCCCGAACAGCGTGCCAGCGAAATTCGGCGCCAGGTCCTGATGGGAGCACATGTAGCCCGAGTACAGAGAGCCGCTGATGCCCACGACGGTGCAGAGGACGGCCATGGCCATGATCCCGTCGCAGTTCACGAAGCACATGGCCACCAGACCGAACATAGGCCCGTAGGAGGCTGGGGGGGGAAGCAGGGGCAGGAATTAAGGACGAGAAAGAAAGATCCTATTCCCTATTATATATATATATATATATATATATATATATATATATATATATATATATATATATATATATATATATATATATATATATATATATATAGTATATATATATATATATATTATATATATCTATATATATTCTCTCTCTCTCTCTCTCTCTCTCTCCTCTCTCTCTCTCTCTCTCTCTCTCTCTCTCCTCTCTCTCTCTCCTCTCTCTCTCTCTCTCTCTCTCTTATTATTTTAAGGGAATTAAAAGTAAGGCGTTCTTTCGGTCAGATCACCTTTGGCATAAAACTTTTAGTCCATCATCTAAAAATATAACATCTCAGTACTAGGTAATGACATAATTGAAATTGAAAAATACCAATGGAAGTTATCATGCATTAGACAACTGTAACAGAAACCTCACTTCCCTCCCAGAGCATATTAGAGAAAATTTAAATGATCAAGGAACAGACGCCAGACCAGGGTGGCCCAAAACAGGTGACTGAATGTGTCTTCCCTCCCGGGCCCACACTGTCACCCGTGGTAGAAATGCGCTAAAAAAGATCGATGGTATTAGTGTGTTGGTGTTGCTTTTATTGTTAATTCGCCGATTGCAAAAAAAAAAAAAGAAAAAAAAAGAAAAAAAAAAGGGTAACACGGTATGAAACTTTTTCAAAAAGATAATGAAGAAATTAAAAAATAAAAAATCTATATAACGGAAAACACAACAAAAATCACCAAGAAGAAAAGGCGAAAAAGAAAAAAATAAAGAAGAAAAAAAAGAGAGACAAGAAAAAAAGAAAAAAAAAGAACCACCGAATGCGCTTCACTCCATTTTCTTTATTTTCTTTGCTTTCTTATCCCTCATTTCTATGCTTCCTACCCATTACCTTCATCCTCCTCTTCCCCTATTCTCCCCTCCTCCTTCTCCTCCTCCTCCTCCTCCTCCTCCTCCTTCTAAATCCATCTTCCTTCGACACTTACCTACAGCCATAGCAAGCCTCCTGACGTTAAGTATAGACAGCCTAGAAGACATCGCGTCCACGAACATCCCGAACCCTATGCTAAAGAGCCACATGGCCAGGTAGGGCAGAGCAGAGAGCAGCCCGTTCTGGGGGAGTAATAAAAATGATAATAATAATAATAAGAAGAAGAAGAAGAAGAAGAATGACAATAATAATAAAAATAATGATAATAATGATGATGATGATGATGATAATGATAATAATAATGATGATGATGATGATGATGATAATGATAATGATAATAATAATAATAATGATAACAATAATGATAATAATAATAAGCATCATCATAATGGTAATGATAATAATTATGATGATAATAATGATAACAATGACAACGATAATAATTTTAAAAATATGATAATAATAATAATGATAATCATCATCATCGTCATCATCATCATCATCATCATCATCTTCTTCATCATCATCATCGTCATCATCATCGTCATCATCTTCTTCGTCATCATCATCGTCATCATTATCATCATCATTATCACCATTAAAATAATAATAATGATAATAATAATAATGATAAATATACTTGTTTATTGCATTTATGACCATGGAATGGCATGGCAAGGAATGGCCGGGGTTGCCATCCGCTGGCAGTGCGGGATTTGAACTCGGGTCAGAAAGATTGCCATCTCCTCTCCCATTCCTTTTTTTCCCTCCACTTCTCCTTCTCCTCCTTCCCTTTTTTCCTTCTTCTTCTCCTCCTTTTTCCCTCTTTTCCCTCTCCTTCCCCCCCTCCTTTCCTCTTTTTCTTTCCTTCAGTTTTCTCTCCTCATCATCCTTCTCTCTTTTCCCTCTCCTTCCTTCCCTCCTTCCTTTCGTCCCTTCCTCCCACTCTCTCCCATCCCCTTCTTCCCTCTCCATCTCCTCGTTCTCCTCCTTCCTTTTGTTCTCTCTCCTTCTCCTCCTCCTTTCCTCTTTTTTTTCCTTTCTTCTCCTCCTCCTCCTTCCCTCTTTTCCCTCTCCTTCACCTCTCCCTTCCCTCTTATCCTTTCCTTCCTCCCCCCCCTCCTTTCTTCTTTTCCCTCCCTCCCTCCTTCATTTCTCCCTCTTTCCTTCCTTCCTGCTCCTTCCCTCTTTCCTCTCTCCTTCACCTCTTCCTTCCGTTCCTCCCTCCTTCATTCCTCCCTCCCTCCTTCCTTCTTTTCCCTCCCTCCCTCCTTCATTCCTCTTTCCTCCTTTCCTTCCCTCTCCTCCTCCTCCTCCTTCCCTCTTTTCCCTCTCCTCCTCCTCCTCCTCCTCCTTCCCTTTTTTCCCTCTCCTTCCCCTCTCCTTCACCTCCTCCTCCTCCTCCTTCCCCTCTTTCTTCTCCTCCTCCTCCTCCTTCCCTCTTCCCCCTCTCCTTCACCTCTCCCTTCCCTCTTTTCCTTCCCTCCCTCCCTCCTTTTTTCCTTCCTTCCCTCTCCTCCTCCTTCTCCACTTCCTCCTCCTCCTCCTCCTCCTCCTCCTCCTCTTCCTCCTCCTCCTCCTCCTCCCTCTTCCTCCTCCTCCTCCTCCTCCCTCTCCTCCTCCTCCCTCTCCTCCTCCTCCCCCTCCCCCTCCTCCTTCCCTCTTTCCCCTCTTTCTTCTTCTTCTTCTTCTTCTTCTTCTTCTTCTTCTTCTTCTCCTTCTCCTTCTTCTTCTTCTTCTTCTTCTTCTTCTTCTTCTTCTTCTCCTCCTCCTCCTCCTCCTCCTCCTCCTCCTCCTCCACCTCCTCCACCTCCTCCACCTCCTCCTCCTCCTCCTCCACCTCCTCCTCTTCCTCTTCCTCCTCCTCCACCTCCTTCTCCTCCACTTCCTCCACTTCTTCCTCCTCCTCCACCTCCTCCTCCACCTCCTCCTCCTCCTCCACTTCCACCTCCACCTCCTCCTCCACTTCCACCTCCACCTCCTCCTCCTCCTTCCCCCTTTCCCCTCTTTCTCCTCCTCCTCCTCCACCTTCCCTCTTCCCCCCCTCTTCCTCCTACTCACACTCTTCATATCGAAATGCTGAATATTCTTGAGGTACGTCGGTATCTGCGTCATAAGGGTGTATGAGCCCCAATTATGGCCGACGTGGACTATTATAAGCGACCAGACCGGGAGTGACGTCATCATACTCCTCCATGGAAAAGGTCCCGGCTGGAAGGACGAAAAAGGGCGGTGGTATTAGTACTGTTTTTGTCTGTATTGATTTTTTTTTTTTTTTTTTTTTTTGAAGGTAGGGGATGGGGGATGGGTGGTGGGGAGGGGGATGGGGGTCGGAAGGGGAGTGGTGGTAGTGGTGGTAGTGGTGGTAGTGGTGGTGGTGGTGGTGGGGGTGGGGGTGGGGGTGGGGGTGGTGGGGTGAAGGGGGGAGTGATGATGATTAATATTCTTAATTATCATCATCATTACTTATGTTGTTACTGGTATTATTATTATCACTATCAATATTGTCATTGTCTTCATTTCCTTTATTATTACCATTATCACTCTTATTATCATATTCATTATCAATATCATCATTATCAGGGACAGAGAGAGAGAGAGAGAGAGAGAGAGAGAGAGAGAGAGAGAGAGAGAGAGAGAGAGAGAGAGAGAGAGAGAGAGAGAGAGAGAGGGAGGAAGGGAGAGGGACAGAGAGAGAGAGAGAGAGAGAGAGAGAGAGAGAGAGAGAGAGAGAGAGAGAGAGAGAGAGAGAGAGAGAGAGAGAGAGAGAGAGAGAGAGAGAGAGAGAGAGAGAGAGAGGGAGAGAAAGACAGAGAGGCAAAGAGAGGGAGAGAGAAAAAGAGAGAGAGGCAAAGAGAGGGAGAGAGAGAGAGCGGGAAAAAGAGAGACAGACAGACAGACAGACAGACACACAGACAGACACAGAGACACACAGACAGACACACAGAGAGATGAAGCTTAAAGACAAAAAAAATCGAGTGTGTGTTGAAGACCTCCGTTTGTAAAAGATCTTTTGTGACAGAAAGTGAGATAAAATGAAACACAAGAGGATTAAAATAAAATCCTAGAGTCATGTCATCATTTTCTTTGTCAACAAGAGCATCTTTTTTTCTTTCTTATACAAAGGAACGTAAAATAAATAAATGAATAAATGAAATAAGATAAAATAAAATAAAACCCATTCCATCTTTCTCTTTGTCTACAGGAGCATCTTTCACTTCTATCTTAAAAAATAAAAAATAAATAAATAAAATAATAAATAAATAAACAGCTAAATATATAAATATATCAAATAAGATAAGAGAAAATAAAATTAAACAAAAAAAAACAATTTCATCATTTTCTTTTGTCTACAGAAGCATCTTCTCCCTTATAAAAACGAAACAAAACAAAAAAGATTCATTGAGACATGAACCCCCGAAGCACCGAGACGATCGAACCAATTATGACGTTCGCGACCTTCCCTCTTAGTCTCTATAATTAAACCCATCAACACAGAGAACCGCCAGCCAGACGAATTGGGGGGAGGGGGGGGGGGGGGAATAACCATCCTAATTCTAGAGCCGGAAATCCCGAGGAATACAGATTGAAAACTCTTATACTCTGTCTGATTCTCTGTTTGACTGACTGACTGACTGACTCTGTCTGACTGACTGACTGACTGACTCTGTCTGTTTGACTGACTCTGACTGTTTGACTGACTAACTGACTGACTGACTGACTGACCGACTGTCTAGCTGCCTGCCCGTCTGTCTGTCAAACTGACTGACTGACTCCGTCTGTCTGTCTGTCCCTGTCCCTGTCTCTGTCTGTCTGTCTGTCTGTCTGTCTGTCTCTCTCTCTCTCTCTCTCTCTCTCTCTCTCTCTCTCTCTCTCTCTCTCTCTCTCTCTCTCTCTCTCTCTCTCAAAACTGACTGACTGACTGACTCCGTCTGTCTGTCTCTGTCTCTGTCCCTGTCCCTGTCCCTATCCCTGTCAATGTCCCTGTCCCTGTCTCTGTCTCTGTCTCTGTCTCTGTCTCTGTCTCTGTCTTTGTCCCTGTCCCTGTCCCTGTCCCTGTCCCTGTCTCTGTCTCTGTCTCTGTCTCTGTCTCTGTCCCTGTCCCTGTCCCTGTCCCTGTCTCTGTCTCTCTCTCAAAAAAAAAAAAAAATTGAATTGTTTCCCTTGCCAAATACATTCGTCTTAGTTGTAATGACACCCTGACAGCGCCTCTGCAACTGCAATGCGCCACCAGGAAGTGCTAAATTTTAAACGAAGGAAACATATAGCACTTTACGTAAAACGCCTGCGGTGATTTTAGTACTCTTGAATGGAGTACGTCACAAGAACACGCTGTGTCATCCCCCTCTCTGAAAGCCCGTCCGTGAAATGAATATAAGTCCTTTTTAAGATTTAGTAAAAAGTAAGACTTCCATTTTACCTCATAACTAATCCTATGTTCAGTTTAGGTCTTATTTTTCCCTTTAATTAATTTATTTATGTATATATTTTTTATTATTATATTTTAACAAAGACGCATTTAAATTGTTCTCATTTTTTTGTCACCAAAAACTCTTCAACAAATAAACACACAACTGTAACCGAAAAACGCTCTTTAAAAGAAATTAAATTAAATTCACATTCTCACATTTTGAATCAAGTAAGTCCACCATCATCATCATCTGCACCCTTGACACGTAGGAAATTGTGTTCTTGGAGATTCACAATAAAAAAAATAAATAAAAAAATGAGCCGCCCTTTGCCTAAGTGGTTTGGCTGGGAAGTAGCAAATTAAAGGAACCAGAGTAGATGCATGACACTAATACAACATGCAAGTAGAATAACGTACAGGGAACGTACAGGAAAACACATGAATACGCCTTAAAGTGTGTTTTCCTGTACTTCCCTTCGTTGATCTACTTGCAATTAGAACAAGTAGAAGCAGTAGAACGTAGTAGTAGTATTAGAAAAAGTAGAACAACGAAAGGAACGTACAGGAAAACACACGAATACGCCTTTAAGTCTGTGTACTTCCCTTCGTTGATCTACTTTCTGCAATTTGATCAACATGAATTCCAATGAAATATGAACCAAAGAGTCGAAGACAAATTCATTACGCTACTGTCATTTAATTTAATGTCCCTTATTCCCCATAGTTTTTATTATAACTTGCTTTATTATACAAAACTTCAGTCTGTCAGTAGCTTATTTCATGACGTGGTAAGTGATATATATAAAAAAAAAAGTATATGCCGACTTGAAGACTTAACTAGATAATTTGAAATAAAATAAATAAATAAATATTTCGGTCCTTTATGCATGTGTAGTTAACACTTGCTAATAGCTCCTCCTTGTGTGAATACAAATTCAGGCAGATTGGATAGGCTGGCGCTCTCTCTCTCTCTCTCTCTCTCTCTCTCTCTCTCTCTCTCTCTCTCTCTCTCTCTCTCTCTCTCTCTCTCTCTCTCTCTCTTTCTTTCTTTCTCTCTTTCTCTCTCTCTCTCTCTCACTCTCTCTCTCTCTTCCTCTTTCCATCTTTCCCTCTTTCCCTCTTTCCCTCTTTCCCTCTTTCCCTCTTTCCCTCTCTCCCTCTCTCCCTTTCTCCCTCTCTCCCTCCCTCCCTCCCTCCCTTCCTTCCTCAATCCCTCAATCCCTCCTTCCCCCTCTCCCTCTCACCTCTCTCTCTCTCCATCTATCCCTCTACATCTATCCCTCTCCCTCTATCCCTCTCTCCCTCTCTCCCTCCCTCCCTCCCTCCCTTCCTTCCTCAATCCCTCAATCCCTCCTTCCCCCTCTCCCTCTCACCTCTCTCTCTCTCCATCTATCCCTCTACATCTATCCCTCTCCCTCTATCCCTCTCTCCCTCTCCCTCTCTCACTCTCTCTCTCCCTCTCCCCTCCTCTCCCTCTCTCCCTCTTTAGCTCTCTCCATCTCTCTCTCTCCGTCACCCTCTCTCTCTCTCTCACTCTCTCTCTCTCTCTCTCTCTCTCTCTCTCTCTCTCTCTCTCTCTCCTCTCTCTCTCTCTCTCTCTCTCCTCTCTCTCTCTCTCTCTCTCTCTCTCTCTCTCTCTCTCTCCTCTCTCTCTCTCTCTCTCTCTCCTCTCTCTCTCTCTCCTCTCTCTCTCTCTCTCCTCTCTCTCTCTCTCTCTCTCTCTCTCTCTCCTCTCTCTCCCTCTCTCTCTCTCCCTCCCTCCTCTCTCTCTCTCCCTCCCTCCCTCCTCTCTCTCTCTCCCTCCCTCCCTCCTCTCTCTCTCCCATCTCCTTCCCCTTTCCTTTCTCTCTCCCATCGCCTTACCCTCTCCCTTCCTTTCCCCTAAAAGCCTAACCAACGAGCCTGCCGACCGCTCCCTCACCTTCCGGATCTGCGCGCCGCACTCCCTCTCGATCTCCTCCTTCTCCCGGAGCGAGATGCGAGGGTGGTT